ATTCGGAAAGAATAAACCAGTTTTATTTAAGAAAGGACTTGTGTTGCTAAAGTTTAGTCGGAAAGAATTTACGGAAAATTAACTAACGACTGGAGGCGTAACATTATTATTACTAATTTTCCTGGTATCCATTTCCATTTATTATATAAGAATGTGTTTATGAAATAAATATTTCAACACGATACGGTATTTCGTACGAACTGTTCTGTCAAGAATCACAATACGTAGCTCACAGATACGTAATATTATATGTGTATATTATATATATATGTGTGTGTGTATTTGTATTGTAAAAGTAGTATAGCTGTAACCCTATGAATTGCTTAATCGGCTGAAATAAGAAGTCGAATTGATATTTATAAACACATTTTAGATTTTTTTTCAAACTTCTGACGATATTATTTGCAGATTGTTATTATTTATGCACATCAATACAAAGAGAAAAATATTCATGTCAACATCTCAGTATTGTGTAACTTTACGTAATGCGTAGTGGAATTTGAATACACAACCGAGATGCAAAAATAACAACGTTGGACTTTAACGTGAAACGTGACAGCCTTTCCATGGTGGTGAAGCCTTAATTTCAGGTAGTCGGTAAATGTCATTTTCACCAGCATAAGATGATTTGCTGGAATATCTTGCCGAAATACGTGTTTAGCAAAAGAATGAAAGCACTTTCTCCCCTCTAAGTGTTTAAGGCATTCCATCCTTAGTTTGAAATGCCTAACTGCAGGCATCTTTGTAACAACTAAAACTCTTCTCAGATTTCTTTCACAAGCAACATAGATATCTATTACATGTGATGATAGAATCTCAAGTCCGCCATTGTTCCTGTGAACGAAAAATTTCCTATGTGTTTTAATTAATCTGAACAGGTAGAGCAGCATAAGCGCTTCTGTACAATGAATCTGAAAAAGTAGAGCAGAATAAGCGCTTCTGTAGAATGAATCTAAACTAGTGGAGCAGAATAAGCACTTCTGTAGAATGAATGTAAACTATAGAGCAGAATAAGCACTTCTGTACAATGAATCTAAACTATAGAGCAGAATAAGCACTTCTGGATAATGAATCTAAACACGTATAGTAGAGTAAACGCTTTTGTACAATAAATGTAAACAGGAAAAGTTTGTTTTTTTGTTTTGAATTTCACATAAAGCTACTAGAGGGCTATGTATGTGGTAGCCGCCCTTAATTTAGCAGTGACAGACTATAGGGAAGGCAGCTAGTCAACATCGCCAACTCTTGGGCTACTCTTTTACGAACGAGTAGTTGGATTGACCGTTCACATTATAACGCCCCTACAGCTGAAAGGGTGAGCATGTTTGGTGACGGAGATTCGAAACCGCAACCCGCAGCTAGATTGCGAGTCGAGCGCCCTAACCATCAGGCCATGCCAGGCCAACAGTTAGAGCAGAATAACGGCTTCTGTACAATTAATATAAACTATAGAGCAGAATAAGCGCTTCTGTATAATGAATCTAAACTATTAGAATAGAATAAGCGTCTCTATATAATGAATATAAATTAGTAGAGCAGAACAAGCGCTTCTGTACTATGAATCTAATCAAGTAAAACAGAATAAGCGCTTCTATATAATGAATCTAGATTAGTAGAGCGGAACAAGCGCTTCTGTACAATTAATCTAAACAAGTAAAGCAGAATAAGCGTTTCTATACTACTACTTTAGAAGTACAGAATGAACGCTTCTGTACAATTAATTTCAACAAATAGAGCAGAATAACTAATTACATAATCCTAGTGAGTTTTTGTTTTACACGTAACAGAAATAAGAATTATAGGGATGAACGAGGAAAGTCATTAGTTTTTTAATGTAAGGACAACAAATCATCATTTAGACCTTTAAAACTGTCCCTGCACACTCGTCCCTCAGAAAAAGAATAGTATAAAGTCATTTCAGATAAGAAGTATCTTGTATAAAGATTTAAACTGTTTTGCTGTCGAATTATTATCCTCTCCACTTTGTGAACGGATAATACTGGATTAAGAACTTTCAGGAAGGTTCGTAAGTACATTATAAACCCAGGATCTAGTGTGACAAATGGATTTCTTTTATTGCAACGATCGTTTAGGAAGCCAATAACTCCAGTTTTCCGATAAGAGCAAACAGTTATGGTTTTGTGTCTATAGTCTTCAATCCCTTTAAATGCGTCTCAGCTCCACTCATATGGGTTTTCCAAAACACCGTTAAATTGCTTTACAGGACTTAGATAAAGAAGTTTTGGAATTAAGTAAGTCAAAAATGGCGGTCCCTCACCAATAGATAACGCGCAGTTGTGCCACACCTTCGGAAAGCGGGAAGTTTCAAATCATCTTGCAAGAACAGTAACACTACCTCAACGGAAGTATTCATTATATGAACCACTAATGATGCGTTCATCTTTTGTCAGTACCATACCATTAATTTTCTGTTGCGGCTTTCATAAGTCTACTTATTTCTTTAGCGCTGGTTCTGTCAGTTAGAAAGTATTTTAGGCCATTTTAATACCGCGTTTATTGGAACCAGTAGAAACACTCGTACTCATTTGGTGAGAGGAAGTGAATTGGAATCATTCTCACCTCCATGAACTACTTTGTATACTACTCCAAGCATCTCATCTCCACGTAGATTAAAAACCACGGACTTTTAGAATTTTGCGCTCAGGATTTCAGGTTTTCAAGTGATTCTTTTGTGAATCACTATCCACGCATTCCCCCACTCTTCTCAGAATATCAGGGCGTGGCAAGTTCAAGTTGAATGATTTGTGACATAATAGTTAACTTGAGGTGAATAAAAAATATAATGTTGTTTTCATATGTATATATTTATATTTAATAGTTCAATTGGGAGGATAGAAAAACTGTTTTCCAGAACATTTAGCCCATCGTTTGACATCGTGTTTGTGGTTTTAAAT